TCTGGCTGACCTCGCGTTCCCCCCAGGCCCGGGGCCCAGGGCCCAGGAGTTCACAGAACTTTATTTCCTTGTGTTCCCAATCGCCTTGATCTTGGCCCATGAAAATAATAATAGGATAAACTGGTTCTGTAACCACATTACCTTACATTGCAACAGCTGAGGAAATATTTAAAGGGCAGTTTTCACAGTGAAGCCTACAACTGGACTCCTTAGGAGGAACCCCAGCTGAGGTCTCTTCCATCATAAGGGGTTGCCTTCTTTCACAGAGCATGATGTTTTTGAGGTTTATTGATGTTGGAGAATGTATCAGTACTTTGCTCCTTTTTATGGCTGAATAATATTCCATTGCATGGATATACCACATTGGCTTATCCATTCACCAACTGATAGACATTTGGGCTGTTTCCACTTTTTAGCTATTATGAATAATACTGCTATGAACATTTGTGTGCAAGACTTTGTATTGATTTATGTTTTCATTTCTCTTGGGTACATACTTAAGAGTAGAACTGCTGAATCATATGACAGCTCTACGTTTGACCTTCTAAGAAACTACCAAACTTTTCTAAAGTGGCTGCCCCAGTTTACATTATTACCGCATCCCAGTCCAATACCTGTTGTTTTTTTGATCATCTCCATTCTAGTGAATGCAAAGACATGCATGTTTTAAAACTGAGTACCTGTTTCCACACATCCTTGCTAACAATATCAATTATCAATCTGTTCAATTTTTGCTTTGTGAACACTTGTGTAAAATTACCTCATTTTATTTAAATTTGCACTTTCTGGATACTAATGACATTGGGCATCTCTTCAGGTAATGGGTCATTTGCATTTCTTTTTCTATGAACTGCATGTTATATATTTGATAATTTTTTATTGTACTGATAATTATAGACATTCTGTATGTAATGTAGGTATTATGCATTTGCTGCATTCTGTATGTAAGGTATGTATTATATCTTAGTCTGTTACTTGTCTTTTAACCCTTTTAATACAAAAAAAAGTTTCATTTTCACCAGCTAAATCTGTCATTTTGTTTGTTACAGATTTTGCCTAGGAAAGCCCCTCCCACCTAGGATTATAAAAAATACTCTCATATTGTGTCCTAATACTTCCATAGTTTTTGCTGAACACTTTAATTTAGAAATTAGTCTTGCATATGGTTTTAAATAGAGGAATACATATCTGTTTGCTTCGAATGGCCCCAAAACCTTTCCCTAAATTACCCTTTTGTAACTAATTTGGAATATAATTCCACCTCAGTCATAAATTTCAGTATGTAAATGAGTCATTTTATGAACTTCGTTCCATTCTATTGATAAGATTTGTCTACTCTGGGCCAGTATCAACCCAGTGAAATTACTATTGCTTGAAGGTGTGTTTTGGTATCTGGTCAGGCAAGTCCTCTTTCATAATTTCTATTTTAAAAGAAAATCTCTCAGTAATTCTTTGCAAATGAAAAGGTTTCTGGTTCAATGAGACACATACTATAAGAAATATAAGGTTGAGTCACATCAGGGGTTAAAATGGTAAAGCCAGGGCCACTTCATGCCCTTTAGCTCTATCACTACTCAATGTGCAGGAGCACTTCTGTCCACCAGCAACTCTCCAGCGCACCTCACACCAGGTCTTGACCTCTCTCTTCTCCATCAAGAAAAACTGGCGCTCCTGGAAAGGCACAGAGCCTATTTCTTATGTTAGGAAAGAAAAATAGGATGGTCTGAAAAATCCTACTGTTGCAACAAAAAAAGGATGTGGTCCTATAAAATATGTAGTTACATTATAATTATGTATTTTGATCTATAAAATATATATCAAAAAAATAAAAACAAAGGAGTAAGTTTGAAGAGCTCCCATTAGCTAAGTTTTAACATTGAGTATCTAAAACAAGAGATGAAAATTTTAAGTTGAATATATAAAAGGCCACAGACTCATGATATTAAAAAGCAAAAGGAATTGTAATACAAAATAAGGATGATCATGGTATATGTTTAGGGGAATATTTGCATATGAGGGTAGTTAACTTGTTCTACTAAGAATATATATTTTTATAAATTATGGGCATATCTTTCTTCTAGCTATGTATACAGGAAAGAAGAAACAAGGGACATCTGAAAGATAAACTAGAAAACTATAGTACAAAAAGAAGACTGATCACCATCAGTGGTCCCATATGACAACTGAGGAGAAAAGGAGTCCAGTTGATCAATAATGATAACAAATTTTAAAGGACCCAACAGTATGTCCAAGATAATAGATAGCCAAATATCTCACACTAAAGAATTCACACAGACTTGATGACTCTTAGTAGACAAAATCTCAAGATGATCCTACTAATTATGTGATATTGACAAGGCATACCTAAGTTTTCAATAATGCTAATGGACAAGACCAATGTATCACAAAGGCAGGACAATGTAGTAATGCTGTCCAGACAAAATTGAAGCACACCATTTCTGGGAATTACACCAAGTTTCAAAACATTAAAGTAACACAAGTGGCAAGATATTAAAAATTCCGACAAAACAAGTTAAGGATTATAAAATTAGTTATAAAAGGACTCCCCCTCCCCCCGGAAAGGACTTACCCAAGGCCTATGACTCATGGTTAAATCAACTTGGACAATGCACCCCAGGCTTCACATCCTAAGTAAGAATGAGTCAACAACCCAGATTACCAGATTATGTTTCCTCAATTAGTCTGAGCAAGTATTACCTTTTTTTTTTTTTTTAAAGGTTTGGTAAGCTTACTACAAGCCCAGGAAACATAATAAAGTATAACCAAATCCTCAGGGAGATATGATAATATATACAGCCATAAAAAGTAGGGAAGAATTTTTAAGGCCAAAATATTATTGGATATTTTAATGCTCAAAAGTGGACTCATAAATCAGATTTTTAAAATTTTTTAATATGTTTATCATTGTATTCAGTTATATCATGTGTCAACTTGACTGGGACACAAGGTACCTAGATTAAACATTACGCCTGGGTGTGTTTGGTTAGTGTCTCCAAATGAGACTGGCATTTGAATTGACTGTTGGACTTAGTAGATAGCCCTCTCTAATGTGGGTGGGCATCCTCCAGGAAGCTGAGGGCCTGAATAGAACAAAACGGCAGAGGAAGGAAGGTTTTGCTCTCTCTCTGCCTAATGGCAGAGCTGGAACATTGGTCTTCTCCTGCCCTCAGACTAAGATTTACATTCTCAGCTCACCTGGTTCTCAGGTCTTCAGACTCAGACTTAACTACACCACTTGCTCTCTTGGGTCTTCAGCTTACAGATGCAGACTGTGGGACTTCTCAGCCTCCATAATCGCATGAGTCAATTCATATATACCTTTCCTATATATGTATTTCTTATTGGCTCTGTTTTTCTGGAGAACTAATACATCGAGCATGCTATAGAAGAAGTTTGAAAGGTTCAACACAATCAGGCATACTACATCAACAACTGCAATTTAAGTTTTTCGAGGCAGTTTAATTCAATTCACTATAAATGTTTAAATGCCCAAGAAAAAAAAAATGGTGTTTCCTTGTTTCCTTCCTGAGCAACTCAGGCAAGGCCAGATAGAGATGGTGGCCGAGCAAAGCTAGGAGAATTACATTCTCCTAGGTGAGTTACATTCGACACAACTGAGAAGGATGGACATGGAGAGTGGGGGCGGCCAGGCTTCCGCTGCTAGAAAAGGGGGCTACAAATATGGAAAAGAGGAAAGCTAGAATGTGCTATTGGGTCAGAACTGGGGATACGGCTGTTAACTAATGATTTTCAATTTTATATATAGATATAAAATAAATATGGATGCAAATGTACGAACACATATTTACACTTACACACACATGTATTTCCTAACCTGGAGGGGCCCAGGAGCAATAACGTCCCCACAGCAACCAGCTCACTGTCCATAAATAACCAAGTGCCCCCGAAATCTAGGAGCAACTGAGAAGATAGTCAAAACATTTTCAGCTGATCATCAGAATGCATTTTCTCATGAGGAAAAAAGTAGAAATTGTAATTATGAGACTTACTCATGAAGATTTTATGTACCCTACAACCTCAGTCCTTCTGTCTTTTCTCTCAGTCTTTTCTTTAAACACTTCGTTTCTCCTTATACTAGTAAATATAAGCCTGGTAATATTCTAATACTTCTTTCAGCTGTACTATAGCATTTCAAGTCTAACCAAAAACATTAATTGCCCTCTGTCTTCTTTCAAATCTATCACTATTACTATAAGAAACATTCAGTGGTCCAATGATTGGATTGGCTGCCCTAAAACTGCCTTGTAAAAATGCCTAGTTATTCCAAGGATGCAGCTACTGTTCAAACAATTGTTGGAAACTGTCTTCTGGGCTGGCCTTTAGAACTCATGGTATATAACCTTAGAGGTAGCAAATCTTCATTGCCCTGAGTAGATATGATTTTCAAAAAAGAGTCCAAAGATACTAGGAATCGGGCAATCAAGCCAAGTAATAACTTGGACTTGGAAGAGTAAAGGGATCGAAACCTCAAAACCAAAATAACCAATAGTATAATAAAATCACGCATATAACTTCCCAAAGTAACTTCTCTGAGGGTAACATTATTTTAGCTGCATAAGCAAAATAATTTCATGGTCACACTTCAGACATGCCAGGTGTAGTTCACAAGCACTAAAAACTGTTCTTTCCCAAAACACATCTCCCGCTGCCCTACCAAGCTACCTAAAATTCAGAATACTCTGATCTGCAGCACTGACAGCTGCTGCTAAAATATCATATATTCTACACAAAGTGTAGCATAATACCTGAGCATATATTTGACATCACAAATTATCAGTCTTGACTGACACAAGGCAAGAGGACATAACTAATTTGAGGGCAAGTTTGTCAAAGAGGACAGTCAAAGTGAGACCCTAGAACCACTTTCTGATCTTTGAAGTGAACATAACCCTACCACCCCGCATTCAATTCCAGAGACATCCATTTTTAAAGACATCAGACAAACAACGCTGCACGGTCCAAGCATGTGGTGATTTTTATTAAGAATAACTTTGGTTCTAAGAATTCCACCCTCAATTCTGTAATACTTTCCATTAAAAACAATTATACAAGAGCAAATACAAAAAATATTAAATTATGAAAACAAATCCATTAAGGCTCCCTTTATATATATTATATACACTCAAACAAGTCAAGATTTTTCAGAGTAGAAGAATAAAGTCAAATGTTATAGCTTAGAAAGCAACACTACTTTACTACTTGGAGACTATAAAACACTGAACTAGTTTAAGAAAACCACTGAGTGGAAAAATGGAGCCGTTTTTGTCCAAAAGTGGCTCAAAGCACAAAACTGCTCAGATGTCCATGAGTCCTAGGGGTTTGGAGTGCACAGTATTAAAGCATTGGGGGAGACTGAGGCCTTTTTAAACTCGGGCCTGTGAGCTAAGCTGATCTGATAACTTCAAAGAGCTTCTCTACAGGTACCTTCCACAGCTTAGTCCTAAGTCATCACTGTATGCTATTTACAAGTCTTCATTTGGCCAGACCTTGTACTATAAACTACAAATAATTCTGCAGATTTGTGAGTGAGATTGGGAGGGAAATGCTTTTGTAATTTATTTTTTCCCAGTGAAGGATGAATTCTAGGTACGTTCTAGAAACAGAATTAGTCCTTCTAAAGGAGCCTGCCAGAGCCCTTGAGGATTTTATCAAGTGGCAGAATCGCTTCAAGGACACAGGATCTAAAGATCTTACATGCAGTTAAAGGCCACAGATGAGCCAGTCCTGAATCCTCATTTTACAAATCACATCATTACTGCACATGCACAAAGAAAGAACTGCAGTCAATGAGCAATCAGAAATGTCCTTTTCAAATGATCAATTAACGTACTTTCTTCTCCGAAAAGGAACAGTGATGGAAAAGAGTTACTATTCCATCCTTCAAAAGCAAATTATTACAGAGCAGTATCTTATTAAAGGCCTCCTATTTTATTCAAATAATACTTACTGATGAGAGAAATCATCTGTTCCACATTTAATCCACATATTCTCGAACTAGCAGTACATGATCACTGCATTTACTTACCTCGTGTTCATGCTAGGATTGAATATGAGCCTAATGATCAGCTATGAAAAGCAGTCCCAGAGAAAGGCAATTCCTACTATGCTTATTAAGAATTCAATTCAAAAGCTCAGAATCCAGCTTTCTATGTGCCTTTAGAGGAATTATAAAACAGTCTTCAATGGAGAAATTACTGTCTGAATCATATCTGTGGAAAACATACTGAATGCATATAAATTCTTCCAGACCACCCCAAGTCGAGTGTACCACACCAGCAGTATAAAATGAACTCTGCCTAAGAACTTTACTGTCATTGGTGACTTGGGCTTCAATTTGAGTAGTTTGCTAGCTAGAGTGCGAACACTAAGCAGCTTCTCTCTTCACGTTGGCTTTTCCTGAGATGCAGTATAGTAGTCATTAACGTCATCATTATCAATAGCATCATCATAACTGAGAGAGTGGGGAAACAGTCTTTCTTCTCAAGAAAAAAAAGCAAAGACACTGGTGATCATTACTCAGAAATTTTCAAAGCTTGGATTCTAATAACATAAAACATGTACAAATGCTATGAATCTTCCAGCTAGGCCTCCTCAAGTCCAATCTACATTTGCTTCACATTAAAATAGCCAAAGAACTCCCCCTTCCCAGGCTCCCAGTGGGGGCATTCCCCACACTGCTCTCAGAAGGAATCAAAAGATTTGGACCCTCTACCTTTGACACTGAAGTTGGGTTATGTGGACTAGTTTTTTTCTCCAAAGGATGGGGAAGATGTAAAAGGGCTAACTCAGCAACAAATTGAAAAAACAAAAACAAAAAACTAAGAGTTATCAAAGCAATAAATGGATTTATATAATGTGCCTTCTCTGAACTGGAATGTTACCATGGAGCATAACCAAAAAAAATTTTAAAAAGGTCAAGGTGGTCATTTACGTATTTCAGTTTACGTATGTTTGTTTACACATTTTAAACCCTCTTTGCCTTATCGCTGTCAATAAAGGTAATAGCTGTGCTCAACATTAACATCTACATTCTCAGGTGTGAATTCACCTAACATGGGTGAAAGTATAAATTACACAAGTAAATTTGGGGTTCTCAAAATAGCATTGCTGGATATTGGCTGTAATAGGTCAGACGCATTTCTCTGTCATCTACATTACCTAATAGCTAACTAAAGGAAGAATAACACATTTTCTTTGTTTTTAAAAGAAAAAAAGGCTCTATGCCCCACTAAACTTGGATCGGCCGAAAAACCAAGTAGTGCAACTCTTAAGGATTTATTCCAGTGTCCACTTCCTTTTTTTTGTTGTTTTTTTTAAAGTCTTTGAACACAGGTCCATATCCTAACTTGAGTGCTGGTCAACATCCTTCGTTTGGCGAACAGGAACTACAACTGTCATAGGTAATTTACCCACCCAGATAGTAGGTGAACCAAGACCAAATCCTTTTTTACGTAACAATTCTCTGCTGGCTGGGATGCTCCCCACGGGCTTGCGCCCCGAGATGAAGCCTTGAGGAGGCGCCCGCTCACAGCTTCAGCACAGTCTCTGGGGCCCAGGCCTACGACTCCTGGGCTTGGGCCACTTCTTGGCCTGTTCTCCTAAGATTGCCTTTAACCTTCACAAACTCTGGGGCATTTTCTTGCTCTTCTTGCAGTTTCTGCTTCTCAAGTTCCAGCTAAATAAAATTCAGAAACAGGAAAATTATTTACAAACTGAGATGCTTTTCAAAACACTCCTCTTTCCAAAGTCCCTAAGGACCTTATTTTCCAAGGAAGAAATTTTCTCCCGGTGTCAGTTTAAAAAAAGATACACACACATGCATATATATGTATATATGTATATAGGCCCTGGGGTAATTCCACAGAGAAGCAGTTGTCGATGGGTTGTTACTATGAGCAATGTTGAGAGGTGAGGAGAATCTAAACATCAAGGTTAAGACAACGGGATCCTGAGATCAACCCAGTTCTCCTGTCCTCTCACTGAGGTTCAAGTTCACTCAACTGCTTGAACTCCCAACACAGTCAACTGACCGATAGGCCCTGGTTTTGACTTTGCCTCCTGAGTCTCCTCTAGGTCCTCAATAGAATCCTGGACTTTAACTTAAATGTATTGTAGGCCATTTGCTGACATTTTGCCTCATATTTTCTTTTTATGGTATAAATATTTACATGTGGCATGTCTGGTAAACTTTTTTTAGGAGGAGAAAGGAAGGAAGAGAGAGAGAGAGATTACTGAGAACATTCTTTCATTGCTTTTTGGAAAGAGGAAGGGAGAGAGGGAAAAAAAACACTGATGTGAGAGGGAAACACTGATTGGTCGCCTTCTTGTATGCACTCCAACCAGGGATCGAACCAGCAACCTGGGTATGTGTCCTAACTGGGAATCAACCCGCGGCCCTTTGGTCTCTGGGACGACACTCCAACACTGATCCACACTGGCAAGGGCAAATTCAGCTTATTCCAACATTCTTATTTTTCAGGACATAAAAGACAACTTGTGAGGTAAGTAAGAGAAAAACAAATACCATATCTCTTATATGTGTTGTCTTTAAAAAAAACTTGTGAAAGCACAGAGTGGAATGGTGGTTATTAGAGGCTGGAGGTGGGGAAATGGGAGATGTTGGTCAAAGGGTACAAGCTTGCAACTAGTAGATAAATAAGTCCTGGAGACCCAATACACAGTACAGTGACTGCAGACAATAAAACTGTATCATAAACATTAAACTTGCTAAGAGGCTAGATCTTAATTGTTCCCAACTACAGAATAATAATTATGTGATGCAGTAGAGGTGCCAGCTAAGGCTACATTGGCAATCATATTGCAACATAAATGTACCAAATCAATATGCTGTACACCTTAAACTTACACAATGTTGTAAGTCAAATATAGCTCAATTAAGAAAAGACCACCTTCACCCAGTCACCCTTACCTGTTCCAGCTTCTGTTGCCGTTTTAATAGTTCTATTTCCAAGTCCGATTTCTTCTTCTGTGCTTCTTCTTCCTTCTGCTTTATTACTTGATCTCGTTTTCTCTTTTCCATCACCTTCTGAAGTTCTGGCTTATTCTGAGGGGCAAGACCCCTGCAAAAAAAGCATTAACAAAATTAAAAAGTTGTAATTGAAAGGACACATTCTTTCCTAAATAGAAATTTAAGGCATCAGCCACAGAAAAGGCGTTTAATGAATTAGCATAATTGTGACGCCTACTACCAGTTAATAGTCAACACTTGTGGTTTCAGGAATTCACAAGCATGAAAGAAAGGGCAAGCGCACCTTCCAAAAGTAAGGAATATCCATTCACTGAATAAAGATGCACTGAGTGCCAGACACTAGGCTATACAAAGGGCTGGGGAAGAGGGGAACAGCATGCTCATTCAATGGTGTGACGGCCGCCTGAGATGGACGTGGAGATGAGGTGAACCATTCAGATGTGTGGTTGACTTGACAACGCACGGAAGTCAGGCCCCAGGGAAGTCCTGTATTTCTGAGGGGTAAGTTAGGCTACCAGCTCCGCAAGTGGGGAGCAACAAAACCAAAACTTAGGCCTGGCAACCCTGCTTTAAGAAGTCTGAGGCAAGTCAAGGGCAGAACATTCCCTAGCGTTTCAGCTAGTCTCCACTAGCCTTTAAGTAATTGCCACTCAATATTAATATTTAATATGAGCATTTAAAATAAAAATGAAACAAACCACAGAACACGAAAAGCACTGTCAATCACAGGCAACAAAGGGTGTAAGGGATGGCTGGCAAATTCACTCATGCATCCACACGCACGTGCTTGACTGAACAGTGTCCCATGCTTTGCTGGGCTGAAGGAAATCAGAGCTGCTGTGGAATCAACCGCGCTGAGTCGGCCTCTGATGACACAGGCCTGTGCACCTTCCCACCGCTTTCTGGTCTTGCTGATGGTGACTGCTATTCTGTACACCAGGGATGTCTACCTCAATGGCTGTTCTCCAACATACTTGACTCGAGTAACAGGACTGGTGAACTAATCATCTGAGTAACTGTTAAATCAAATAATTTCCGAAACAGGTGCTCTGGTTCTATGAATCTCAACTACACATTCATGTCAATCTCTTTTAAGTTCATACTGGCACATCTGTAAACTAATCCTCAATATCAGTATCACACATCCTCGTATCCAGTTGTAATCTTCAAAAGATTCTGCCATCCCTCTAAGCTACGCATTTTAAAAGTTGCAATAAATTCTTCAGTTGTTTACAAAATAAAGATCAGTATATTCTGTCACTGACGATAAAAGACACACAATCAAAGTAACACGTCTCCACTTTCCCCATTTTCATTAATAAAACTTTTGGTAAAAAGTAAAAAAAGAAAAGAAAAGGATGAAGGACGGTGAAGGGATTAGCCAGAGAACACAAATGCATGACGCATGGACTCAGACAATAGTGCGGGATGGCCTGAGGGAAGGGGGGTCTTGGTGGAGACAGAGAAAGAGGGAAAAATTGGGACAACTGTAATAGAATGATCAATAAAATTTTAAGAGAAAAATAATAAATTCAACCAAATTTCCAGTGAAACAAAAGAAGCAGGCTACTTTTGTGATTTAATTATGGTTTCACAGTTACTAAGGTCGTATCGGGGGGACAAAAGTATAGACAGACTATGATGAAAATTAAATCTTCAACCAGCACAATAAAAGTTGCTGATGGTATTTTGTTCACAATAAACCTAAGTGTCATTGAACACAGGAAAGTCTGTTTGTAAATAATCTGAGTAAAGACTTAGTTTCATGACTATTAAAAAGCCCCTAAGACACTACAGAGAGATTTAAGGGATTTAAATTTTAGGATTAAGGATTTAGCTAGCTACATAATTTAAATTTCAAACATTTTTCTTCCCCTATTATTTCACAGGCAAAATTAACTTCAACTGTTATTAAATTCTTCTGGGTTATGCAGAAGCTATTGAACAAACTTTGATGTATGACACGCCAAGCTGACATTCTACTGCAACATATGAATGGGTTTAATTAATATACAGTACTCATTTTCTATTCAAAGATTTTACACAATGGTGGCAGGAAGATAAAATATTTAGTAGCAGAAAGCTCAGGAAATGGTGCTTATATGATAAATGTTCTCCACTTGTAATAGCCGTGAAGTCATACAAATTTAGTTAATATTTTAACATAGCCAATCACTTAATCTGTGCTGAATGGAAAAAAAGCCAAGCAAACCCTGCCTGTATGATTCTCCAAGTCTAAAACTGGGTTAGACTGGAGGGAAATGAGCTCAAAATTTAGTAAAAACTATAATACCATTCTGTGCATGACAACAGTTGATTCTCTTTAATCAATTCTGACATATACAATTAATGAGCACTTGAATCCCTTTACGAGGGACAGGCACTCAAGTCCTGGTGGCTTTGTACCACTCAAAACCAACAGCTGACCCTGAGCCTGCTAGCTGTGACGACTATAGCGGGCCAAGCCAATTCTTAAAATTAGTAAGTGCTCCTCGTATAAAAACAGGTTACGTGACATATACATATAAGCAACATCAAAAGTAAAGCACACCTGAACTCTCCTTGTTAAACAGATCTTGAGAGCACCATTTATGCTGCATTTTTTGTCAATAGTGCCCCTCCCCCAAAACTGAACAAGGTGGGCCCTCCCCCAATGGACCCAGAGATAACAGTGTAGTCGAGGCTCCTCCATGCTTTCTATACCTTTACAAACAGAGCTCTTCCTCATCCTTTTTAACATCTGCACAAGACATCACAGTACAGGAGCGCCATATGTTTGCCACTCCCATATTGATATGCATTTCGGTTGTTTGCAATTGTTCCCTATTAAAAGTAATGGAGCAATGACCTTTCTTGTACATTCATATTTGCTCTCTTACATAAGTATTTCTGTTGGCTACATTCACAGAAATAGAATTGCTGGCTAAGTGTCTACACATTTTATATTTTGATGGATGTTGCCAAACTGCCCTCCAAAAAGACGGCAACACTTTATTACACACATTTCACATGTCACAAAAATCACTGAATACATCCAGAGGTGGGCTGGAATGGTCCACATCCACTCCATCTTCATCTCCACTCCAGACGCCCTTGAAGCCACGGGAGTGAAACTGCCTCTTCACCTGGGAGACCTGAGCCAGAGGCGAGGGCTGGCGCAGACCCTAACAGTACATGCGTCCCTGCCCACCCAGCCAAACATCTCCTGGCTTAACTGTTTTCTTAGGGTGGAGGAGAGAGTGCACTTGGATTCCAAGCCCTTGATCTTTAATCTTGGAATTTTCTGGTCTGGCCTGCCTTGTCTATACATTTATGCCTGAACCACTTAGTTCTACCTGCATGGATTCAAATGCAAATACTTCTATCCCAATTTCCCATATTTTTCCATGTTGTACAGCAATGAGTATTTATTGAGAAAATATTTTTCTAGCAAAGCATGCCAAATGAAGATACGCTAAACACACCAGGAGTAAAAACCAGTGACTGAAATGTACAAGCCAAAGAACCATTTTTAGGGGTATGTTTGAATTGGGTACTCTGTGTTTGCCTTCCAAAAGAGAAGATAGAATATAAATTATATTAGAAATATTTTTAAAGACCTCTTAAACACCAATCTTTCAACTTCAAAAAAAATTGCCTCTTGAAATCTGCCCTTCATATGTTATTGGAAAACCTACAGAACCTTAGAACCTGAAAATGGTCTTAATCAGACCTTGTAGCAAACTGTGCCCAACTTGAAATGTAAAGACTTTTAACCTGAAACTTAGTTGGTCCAAAAGAGAGCAAATATAGGAGCAGAATTATATGCTTAAAAGAGCTTAAATTTCAAGTTAGAAAACTGGTAGTTAGAGTATTTTCTCCTAAGCAGGGACTTTGCTTTTATCTCAAGATCTTTAAAAAGTACCTCAAGAAAACTCTTTGAACTAACTGCTACAGGGCTTTGAGCCAAATTTCTACTATGTGGGGCAAAGGTACAGGGCTCCGTGGAATGCTTGTTTTATGTTGATCTCATTTGTCTCCCTCTTGTTTCCCTACCGGTTTTCTAATTCTTATTATTACTGTATTTGATTCATATCTGTTATTAATTTAAACTGCCTTTAGTTCTATGTTTATTTCTACCCTTTTTAGTCCAAAAAAACCTAGAGATTGCGAGAAGATTCCTTAGCCAGTTACTCTGAGTTTTCTCTTCTTGGCAGGTCAAATTAGGGTAACCCCAAGATAACATGCATTGGGTCACCGGAAAGGTCAATGAATTGGTTAGGATAACTATGGGAAGACCCTTCACAAATTATAGAAAATAAACAGACTTTCATTATGGTTCAAACCAGTAATCAAGTATAATTGTCCTTTAACCAAGCATAAATATTATTGATGTAATAGTTATTTTACACCATTAAAATTTAGACATAAAACCTCCCACAGTCTCCAAAATACACATGTGACAGAAGATGAATACAAGAAACTGCTTGAGAAGTTTGCACTCTAAAGCCAGTTGTATTTTTAATAGAAGGCTCTTCCAAACTCAAGATTTTACCTTGAGAAATCTGAAGACATATGATAAGATACACTCATTTCATTTTGAAACCTATCTTTTTCTTTCTTTTTTTTAAATGTACTTCTAAAGCCAGACCAACACGTTTCAAACAAGAAGGAAAAAAATCAATAGGAACTTCCAGATGGCACTACATATAGAAAGTGAAAGGTGGCTGGCATTCATTGAGCACTTACTATATGCCATGCATTTTCATAGGTATTTACACATGCTACTATTTACTTTCATTTTTATTTCCTACTTTATACATGCCAATTTTTGTTTTACCTTTGCCTACTCCATTTGACTTGGGGCCTTTTCACAGATACAGTAGAAAAAAAACAATACAGAAAACCAGTTTGAGCTCAAGTGGTTCTCAGAGATCAACTAAACCCCCTACTCCCATTTTACAGAAAAGGGAACTGAGGTCCAAGATGTAGAGACAATCAGAAAATTTAGTTTAGAAAACCATTTAGCTACTCTCTTTTGGAGTATACTGAACTTTATCTTTCCCCTAAAATGCAGACTTTCCCAGGCAGGATTGTCTCTAAATTCTGTGGCCTATTTAGGAAATTACAGAATCCTATTTTGGCTTTGGGCATGATGATAATGAATCCATTTTTTTTTCTTTGATGTGACAAAAGCCAGTAGAAACTAAGCACTATTCAGAAAGGATTAAACTTGTATTCAGTGTATAAGCATTGGTCCAGCAGTGCCCTGGTATGCACTGGGGCGGGAAGGGCGCAGGTCACAGTCCCCGATCCCAGAGGACAGATGTGTTTACAAAGGGTTCCTGGGACAGGAGTTTTGGTGGAGGGATAGTTGGGAGGAGCTGCTATAAAAGTGCCCCCTCATTTCCTTTAAAATACATATTTTTTAATTTTTAATTAGGTCTTCCCTCTGAAACATGACCTTAATGCATAACTTGACCTGCATATCTTTCAGTTCACTGGGTATTGCCAGGGCTTAGCAAAGACTAGGTAGATGAGTGATCCATATGGTCTCACAATTCAGATCCGCAGTTTCATTCTGAAGAACTGAAAACAGTTCTAAGTGAAGCTTAATTGATCTTAAATAATGAAGGTAACCTTGTGTCCTAATAAATAAAATAACTTTGTACCCTCTGTTCTCCCAGTCTCCTGGCTCTGACCAGCATCGCTTAAAAAGCAGAGTATTCCAACCAAACATCCAAAATTACTTATGGCACAGGGGAAACTAACAAACGGTTTACAAAGAAAATAGAAAGCAAACGTTTTGATTCTCTCCACAATTAATAATAATACAAATGACAATAATGATAAGTAAAGTGTTACTTAAAAACAAAGAAAAAAAATGAGCAAGTGTGCTTATCTATTAAGGCTGATGGGGTTCTAGAGACTTCAACCTGCCACTCACAAGTCCTAAAGCAGACGATATTTACATCTGACTCCCACACATTTGCAGATATAAGGAGAAAATTCAGAATTTTTACAAATCTAAGAAATTACATATTTCTCTTTGACTTAGGACACTCCCTTTTAGCCTTAGTGCGGACCCTTCCACGCACATTTTAAAGTCTACGTCCATCTGAGAAGGGGACACAGGACTGCAGACTCCTGAATAACCTGGCGCTGGCAGCTGTGCCTGCTGCTGGCTTCACTGTATGGAGAGACGTCCTGGCTCAAATGCCAGAAGGAACGTGGAAGCCTCAAATACAGTGAAGAAACAAAACATTCCTTGAAGCCTTTCTAAACATAATTAAAATTACACCTAGTCAGAAGTCCCCTGAGAGAAACTCTGCTGAAGAAACCATCTTACCTTTTCTGATTCATAAGAAGTTCTCTGTGAAGATCTTGGTGGTTGCGAGATGTTTTGACAGGATTGACAAGTTTCTGAGGTCTAATTAGTTCAGGATTGTCATCTTCTATATAGTCTGGTTCAGCCATGATATTTCTTGGAATGAGATAGGTCTCCTTCAGGTCAGGATCCTCAAATGGGCTGTCTGAAACAAAAAACCAAGACTCATTGGTGGTCTTTTCTGTGAAGACGCCTTGCACAAATGCAGAGGCCCAGCACAGCTGTGCGAGGTGCACAAGCTCAACATGCCAATCTCCTCGGTCCACATTACCACTTCATTCAACGATTTTCTGAAGCCCTGTGAAAGCAACTGGAGGAGTAAAGGAGGGAAACCATCCATCGTGTTCTGTACTGCCTATGACTAAAGCAAATAATCTCCAAACCTGGCTCTGGCAGTACCTTCAATTTCAGGTCACGCAGGATACCACCCACCACCAAGTCCAAAGACCAACTCATCCCCACAACACGGTGGGTACTCTGTGAATATGTTACATGCAATGAAACAGAAGAAAAAAATGTTCACTGGGGGGCTACAGCTGCAAGGAACAAGGCTGGCTGAGCATCGAGCATTGCGGGTCCTCCTGGAAGGTAACCTAGTGCCGCAGCCCCTGAGATACCCCTCCTGGTACTGACCTCATCCCTGCTTCCCAGCCACCAAAGCAGATCTGGCAAATATGTCAAGATTTTAACACCCCATCCGATGCTTCCCTGTCTCTGTCAGATTACTTCATTTTCCAAACCAAAAATCAGATGCAGGGCCTGACAATGCAGACTATTTGATGCAGGACCTTCCCTAGAAAGTCCAGAGGACATGCCGACTGTCTCTGGCCAGTTTCCTGCCCCTAAACGAAATTACAATCCCCCTGTGAACAGCTAATGCCCAGGAGTGCCACCTCCCCCACTGCTCCAGGGAAGTCTAGAGAACAAACAGCCACCTCCATGCCCTTGGCGCCCCAGCACGGCGCAGGTATACTTCCATCGCAAAGGCATCCTTAACAGAGGATAACCACAGGTTCCTGTCTATTCTCTGCAAAGCTAGGATCACCTTCTTTCCCCATTTTGAATCCCCAGGTCCAGCAAAGTGCCTGGCACATGGCAGAAACTAAATAAATGCTGAACTAAATCAAATCTGTACTAAACAGAAAAAGTGGAGAGGTCCTCCAAGAATATGCTCCTAGACAGAGGAAGGGCTCCATATTTATTTCAGGCCATGGAATCAAACATCCAAGGACAGCGTGTATGTGTGTTTCCACATAAGGCAGGGCTAACAGGAGGTGAGAACACAGGAGTGTGCTTCCACGGACTCGGGCGTGGTGACAAGGGCCCTGGAAAAGAATAAAGATGTGCACAAAAAAAACAATAAAACAGGTCTTGCGGCCATCAGCGGTTACATGCACGAGTTTTGGTTTCAAAGTCGTCAATGATGTTTTCCTGAATCCCTGAACTGACCCAAAACACTGTCGGCCTCTAACGCACCTACTAAGCAACCCTGTTCCAAATGGCAGCCAACAACGACCCAGGGCTTCAGATATAGCGCTTACAGGTATGTGCCCACATCTGGTCTCAGCAGCATCCCTATGAGCAGAAGAATTAGAATCCTCACTTTACAGATAATAAAATGGAGAAACAACAACTAAATAACTCATCCATGCTGCTATTGCCAGTAGTGTAAAGCTCAAATGAAAAGGAATAAAAATGAACGTCCTCTCACCTCTAAATCTATGTTCTGTCTACCCAATTATGATGCTTAATAGTCTTTGTTGAAAAATATTGTGAGAATAAAGAGGACAAACATCCAAAGAATAATCAATCAATGAAAATAGAAAAAATGCAGATGGGTCACTGTTTATAGATTTTAGGCATAACCAAATAATCAAGGCTCAAAATTACCAAGCAATAACATACACATAAAAAAAATTACACCAAGCACTCTGGCTGGCGTGGCTCAGTGGACTGGGCACCAGCCTGTGAACCAAAGGGTTACCAGTGCGATTCTCAGTCAGGGCACATGCCTGGGTTGCAGGCCAGGTCCCCAGTTGGGGGTACACGAGGGGCAACCACACATTGATGTTTCTCTCCCTCTCTGTCTAAAAATAAAGAAAGAAATAAAATCTTTAAAAAAAAAATTACACCAAGCATTCCTTAAACACTGTAGCACTGCCTTCATCTTTTAAATAGGAATGCCTTCAACACTGACCAGATGGAGAATTACAAACCTCGCGCCTGCTGAGCCCGCGATCCCACCATAGCTGGTCTGACTTCAATATGCCAGCCCTCAAAAACTGTGTTCCTCAGGTAAGGAATGAACTGCGCCACACAGACCTCTCTGCAGTCCCAACTGCCTTTAAGGGCTAACAGCAGTTTTATCCTAGTTAATCTTTAGACAAGAAAGCCCATGTGCTTCCATAAAAGGATCTGTTTCTTTGCCCTAAACCATGAATAATCTCCATGACCCCAAATCAAAGCCGATCACTGCCTCCTAATAAGGTCAGTATTAGAGATGGGGAGAGAAGCCATGTGGATGGGGGAGGAAAGAGCATTCCAGACAAAAGAACAGCTGGTGCAAAGGCCACAGGCAGGAGTGTGCCTAGTGGGTATGTGGAACAGCAAAGAAGCCAGTTTGCAAGGACTCTGGCCTTTACTGCGAGGGACAGTGGCGAGCCAGCCACTCAGGGTTTTGAGCAGAGAAGTGGACGGATCTGAATCATGTTTATAAAAGATCACCCTAGCTACTGAGTTTAGAACAGACCTAAGCAGGCATGGAAGGAATGAGGGAGGCAGCTATTACAGCAATGCAGGTGGAGATGGTTTAGAGCAGGACGGCCGCAGCGCGGGCCAGAGGACAAACCGGTCATGTATTCTGAAGGTAAAGCCCCTGCGATTTCTTACAGGACTGCACATGAGGGTGAAAGGCACAAAGGAATCAAGGATGACTGGGTCTCTGGCCCGAGCAACTAAAAGGGTAGCACTGTTGGCTCTGGGCAGAGCGGAGGGGTGACGAGATCAGGCGTTCCACTGGGGGCAAACTGAGTTTGAGATGTCTGCTAGACAGCTTGGTGGTGACGGCGAGAGAGCAAAGGCAGTTGGTACTCAAACCTGGGGGACTCTTTCCTTTGTCTTACTGATTTGACCTCCACGGTTCTGCACTTCACCTGTCCCCCTCCTCTGCCCCTTCATTCCCACTATCGCCCCAAGTAGAGGCTGCACCAGATCCCCATGCCCAGTCTTCCCGAAGGTCAGCACTAGGGTATGGACATGTCTTGGGTGTTGGAGCCAAGAGGTGGGTTGAGCTTTCAGGGTGCGGAATGAAAAAGCTTCAGTCCTGAGTTTAGGAAGCAAATTCTGGCCTGGGCTACTTTTTCTGATTTCTCTTCAGACTCAGTGCCTGGTAAGTCCTTCTCCTCCCACAGGACCAGTGTAGTAAGATGGACCTGAGCTGTCTCCTACAGGAGAGTGAGGTGGGTGGGGGCTGGAGGGGTTCTGCTGTACTGAAGGCGCAAACATTCTCCTTCTTTCTCGCTGGTTTGCCCTGCTTCCCAGCTGGAGTTGGGGCGGGGGCACAGAAGCCCCTGAGTCTGAGTTAAGTGCATAGACTTCAGGCCTGCCTGAGGACCAGGCCAGGGTCCTTGTACCTGTCACACAGTGGACCACACTGGGACTCAGGAAAGGCCGTTTAGGGAGGAGGGGCTGACTGACAGGGAGCATCCTTTGTCATTCTGCGTACACACAGGAGTGGTCATGGCGGGGGAAGGATCTAGGAGTTAGTTCAGGCCACTTCTCAGTGACTTTCCACCCTGGGGCCATGACCAATATTTGGCAATAATCACCAAAATGACCTTGTTCAACTTCGCTTTGCCAGCCATGTTCCTCACGGTCTCAAGGCTGGGAAATGCCACTCAGCTCCAAGGGAGAGCTTCCATCTCCCAGACCCTACCCTCTGATCGAATGGGAACGAGCACGCCCTGCTCCCTGAGTCTGCACACCTCGCTGCTCTCCTCGCCAGCACCATTCCCTCCGGCAGGGACGCTGAACCTCTCCCTACCCATCCCTGGACCGTCGCCTCTTCAGAGCCAGATAAATGCCGAACCTTCCATGAAGCCTTCCCTCACTTCCCAGTTGCAATTAAACACTCTGACCTCTAAACATCTATGGAATTTTGTTTCCTTTTCCTAGTATTCACTGACCTCCACCTTGTATCATGTCAATATTTACATAAATCCTACCATCTCTTCACTGCAAAGACCACATCTGGTTTATGTTCACATTCCTCAGGCCCCTTGGACTGGATCAATAAATATTAATTATGTAAATGAAGTAACAGTCATGGCTAACTACCAGTAGAGGGAGCCCACGACCTGTCGAGTCCATAGTAGCAGGGAAAAAGCGCTGACCTTGGAGTTGGGAGAACCAGCCTATTTCCTCGCTGAGCATCAAGTAATACAGAAGCCTGATAGGAAAGATGAGACAGAATGTCTGGAAGTAGAAGTAAAAGCACTTTGTAAGTGGTCATTATTATTACTATAAGAAACATTCTTCCAGAAATAAAAATGGATATTCCCGTCATATTACTCTTCTGGTCCAGTAAATGATTCATAAAGTAATTTCTCTTTAACGTATCAAGTCAGTGAAGAAAAACTAGGGTTAATTCAGTGTAAGAGAAGAAAATGCCTTGAGATCTTGGACAAAGCTTCCTAATATCCCTGACCCTCAGTTCTCCCCCTATGTTAAAATGAGTGTGGTTCTAAGAACTGGTTGAGATGTAGATATGAGTCCTCTGTATAATCCCTGGCACATCTGTGAGAACCCAATCGACGGAAGCTACTATTAGCCAAACTATGTGACCAACGTCATCCCATTCCCTAGGAAACCTTGCATATGAAACTCTAACTTTCCAAGACTTGGTTTCTTAAAAAACACCAGAGTTCAACTAAATGTCCCTTCTCACTGGTAAGATTCAATGGTTCTAAGACCCATTTGTGCTACACACATTAAGAATATTCTGGAACGTGCAAAAAGGTCTATCACACCTTCAAAGTGCGACATCGAGTTCTGAATGGCTTCAGGTAGACTGTAAGAGTGTAGCAAGAAAACCGACAGGCCTCATGGTGAGGGCCTGTCCTGAGGTGGAGGGGACTCACCGAAAGA